TGGGGAGGAGGGGAGTTACCCAGGGAGGTGGAGGAGTGTGGGGAGGAGGGGAGTTACCCAGGGAGGTGGAGGAGTGTGGGGAGGAGGGGAGTTACCCAGGGAGGTGGAGGAGTGTGGGGAGGAGGGGAGTTACCCAGGGAGGTGGAGGAGTGTGGGGAGGAGGGTCCCGAGGGGGACGTGGGTCCCGAGGGGGACGTGCCACACAGCTGCTTCTCAGAGCAGAATGACAACTTGGCAAAGGCTCCTGAGGACAAATGGGGCTTCTGAGATCGCCCTTCTAAAAAAACTGCCTCGGGGTGAACTTGGCTCAGAGAGACACCCTTGCCTAAGGCCGGCTGAGGTCTCTTCTATGAACAGGGCTGCCTGTCAAGTGTAGCTTGGGGACTTCGGGGAGGGATTCTGTTGTCTGGTCTCCTCTTTAGAGCAAGACCTGCGTTAGGTGGAGGAAAAAGTCTGCTCCTAGCTGAGAAGAGAACTGCCCAGGCAGCTCCTCTGGCCCAGCTGCGAGCTTAACCCGCTCACTATGGTCTAGTTTACTTAACAGCAATTTTCCTTTTCCTGGGCGGCTCTGTCACTAGAGGCTCAGCTTTTTAAGTCCAAAGGTCTGAGTCTCTCACGGAGAAAAATGACTGCTCTGTCGCCCACAGCAGTGCACCTGCCCGCCCACCCGCCTGCCTGGGAGGCTCCTGACATTTGATTATCTCTCAGCTCCAAGAGAGAAGAGAGGCAACCAGTGTCAAAGGCAATGTGTCAAGACAGCTGTGCCGCTGCCGAGAGACAAGAGTCAAGGACCCCCTAGCTGGTCTCTGCTCAGGCTCCCACTGCTGCCCACAGGCCTCTCAGGACCACTGTCTCCTGCTCTACAGCACACAGGAGCTGCTCAGAGAACCCAGGAGACCCAGGGGTTCTTCTGCCTTGTAAGAGGCAAGGTGCAGGCAGTTCCCAGGGGGGGAAGAGCGACTTTGAGTCAGAGACTTACTTATACACTTTGAACTTTCTTTTACTTTGTTTCTTTTCCTTCCTTCCTTCCTTCCTTCCTTCCTTCCTTCCTTCCTTCCTTTCTTCTTTCTTTTTCTTTTTGTTTTTTTGGAGACATGGTTTCTCTGTATAGCCCTGGCTGTCCTGGAACTCACTCTGTAGACCAGGCTGGTATGGAACTCAGAGATCCGTCTGCCTCTGCCTACTGAGTGTTGGGGTTAAAGATGTGTGCCACCACCGCCTGGCTTTATTTTGTTTCTTTAAAGTTTATTTTTATAGTATTGGTTGTGAGCCTTAGCCTTTAATAGCTAAGCTCTTTCTCCAGCCCTGTGTTCATTACTTTAAATGTGCTTGTCTGTCTGTCTGCATGTGGGTATATACGCCGGTGCCAGTGTGGGCAGAGGCAGCAGATCCCCCTGGAGCTAGAGCTACAGGCAGCTGTGAACCACCCATGGGTGCCGAGGACACGTATGTGCACCTATTCCTGTGAATGTTGGTGGCAGTGTGTGAAGGGAGGTCCGAAGACAGCCTCTGGTGTCACCCTTGGTCTCCGGCCTTGATTTGCGACAGTCGCTCTTGCTTATTGCTGCATATAGGTTTGAGTTTCTGGAGATCCTCTGTCTCTCACCCCATCTTCCCATAAGAACTGGGATCCCAGACTCCTGCACTGCCGTGTCCAGCTTCTACGGGAGTTCTGGGGAGCCAAGCTCAGGTTATCCGGCATGTATGGCAAGTGTGGAGCCAGCTCACTAACACACCAGGTGTCTGGCCAGATTCACGGGGAGGGAAGAATGGAAGGAGGGAAGGCAGGTTGGAGGCAGCCGTCCAGGGTCCAGGGCTTGCTGGCACCAGAGCTCTGCTGTAATTCTGACCCAATTCTAGTTCTTGCAAGAAACATTTATTTACTGTTAGCCTCTTCCTTTCCCTTTCACAAACCCCCTCCCCCCTTTCGTTTCCTCTCTTTTTGAGACAGGCTCTTATGCAGCCCAAGCTGGTTTTTCTATGTAGTTGAGGCTGGCCTTGAACTCCTGATCCTCCTGCCTCCTCCGAAGTGTGGGGATTACAAATGTGTGCTGATACACTGGGCCCAAGCTTCCCTCTTTAGATGAATACATCCTTCAAAAATATAGACGTTAAGTGCCATTATAAGGGCTGTTGTCCCCTTGTGGGCTGACAGAGGAATCCATCAAGCTGGTCAGAGTATTTGCTCCCTTCCCCCACTCATCCCTCAATGTCATCCCAGCCACTGAAAGGAATGAGAAAGAGTCAGGCCAGAGCTTAGTGAGCCCCTTCCCAGGCCAAGGACGACAGGCAAGCACCATCAGGGCAGAGGCCAGACTTGAAGATCCAGCCTCAGGGAGTGAAAGGAACGGAGACAGGTAGGTGTGGGCAGAGAACATTCCTCTCCTAAACCCTGCCCACAAAAGACATCCTGGAGCTCTCACATAAGCCGAGATATAAGAGACGGGAAGAGCTTGGGTCTGACCCCTGCCAACCCTGGCTTTTAGGCACCAAGCCTTCCGGGGCTCCTATATTAGAGAATTTGGGGGGCTGCCCCGACCCAAGCCACAGTCTGCTCTAGCTGGGCAGGCCAGGCTGTCTGAAAGGATGGCCCTCCCTTTCTACTGTGGAAGCCAGGACTCCCATGGTTCCTCCTACTGCGCTGGGGGAGCCAGGGGCTCGCAGAAGCGGCCCTTAGCAGAATCCTCACCCGGCTCGTACGCACAGAATCAGCAGCAGCCTGCAGCCTTGGTCCTGATGGGAGTCAAAGAGTCCCAGAGGCCAGCCAGGAAGATGGGCACTCTGTGCAAGGGGTGGAGTAGGATGGGGACTACTTGACAAGCCCCAGGTAGCCAAGGCTGGCCTTGAATTAGCTCTCTTTGTGGCTAAGTATGACCTTGAACTTCTGAGCCTACCTCAATCTCCTGAGAGCCACAGTCCAGGTACACGCCACCATCTCTGGTTTTATTTGGTGCCGGGCTTCATGCATACCAGACAAACACCTCCTAAGTTACGTCCCCACCCCACTCTGTTTTAGCTTTTATACTGAGAAAGACAGACACACTACAGCTAGCCAGAGGAGAGGCAACACAGCCCCACAGCTGATCGTTCCCAAGCCTGCTGCACCAGCCGCTGGCTCCTTCCCAAGGTGGCTGGCTGCTGTGGCAGAGGGGACAGACACCTGCTGCTAACCCGGCTCAACGGGGAAGACCCCCAGCGTCCACCTGAGGACACGAGTGCTATCGCCCGGGGTATCGGTTAGCTGGAAGCCACTGTAGATGGCATGGGTACCTTTCCACACCCTGCTGGTCCAAAGCTCAGGGGCTGAGGGCAGCTGTTACCCTATCTCACTGGGTTTTATGGCTGGGCCACATATCACACTCCCGAGAAGGCAGAATGATGTTGTTCCTGTCCCCTCCAGGGGGCACAGCCAGACCTAGCATGGTCATGTGAAGGAGGCCGGACCAGAATTAGCCGTTCAGGTGTCCTAGCCCAGTTCCATCCATTCACTGTGACCTGGAAAAAGTCACTCACATTCTTTGGTACTAAATTTCCCCAGCAGTAAAAGGCCGACAGAGCATTCGCCCTCTCCTTGCCCTCTGGAAAGGTCAGAGGACCAGGCGGCCGACTGGATGGAGCCGCTGCCACGTCCCAGCTGGGAGTTTGCCTGGCTTCTCTGCAGAGTGGAGGGGTGGGTGGGGGAAGAAGGGGAGACAGTTGGGAGATTTCTCAGACTCACCGATCCATCTCATCAGAGAAGTCAAGATCTGCAGGTACTTAGTCTTCTGGACGTCGAAGAAGGTGAAAGGTCCGAGGAGGAGGGTGAAGACAGCCTGGGGATGAAAAGAGCCATGAGGTGGTGTGCAGAGGTGTAGTCACAAAGCAGGCTGTGAGGGACAGCAGCCTGCACGCACGGCTAAGGCCCGGCAGTGACACGGCGAACACTTGCATTTCGTGACAGAGCCTTCCTGGGGCGAACCGGCATCACTGAAGGTGAACACCAAGGGCCAGAGGCAGGGTGGGAGGGCCAGAACCTCTCTGCTCTGCTACTTATACTTCCTGCTCGGATGCCACTGCCACTTCTAGGCGAGGCCCAGGCTTCGTCCTGGGACCTCCACCCAATCCATCCCGTTGGCTCGGCAGGCACCGATGAGGGAGCCTCAGGCCCAGCAGTGTGCTGCTGTGTGTGTGTGGATTGGGGAAGAAACACCAGTGAGTCGAGCCAGAAGGAATACCAGACAGGCCTCACCATCACAGGGAAGAGAACACAGGGAACAGGGGACATGAGGGCTCCGGCTGGCCGAGGATCTGAGAGGACAAGGATGTCCTCTCTCAACAAGGAGGGGAACAGAGGGCAAGCCAGGCTGCTGGGGCCCTGGATTGCAGGGAAGACCCAGGAGTGGGGTTGGCAAGCCGGTTAGTGGCAGAGTGCTTGCCCTGGGTTCAATCCCCAGCACCACATAAACCAGGAGTGGCGGCACATGGCCATTATCCCAGGCCTGTTCCTCCAGCACTCCGAGGGTGAAGGACTGGGAGGCCAAGGTCATCGTCATCTACACAGAGGAGGTGGGAGTGAAGCTGGGGGGGGGCGGCGGCGGGAGGAGAACGGCTCCCAGGCCGGGGCCTGTGGCACTGGCCCTCGGTGCTTCCCTTTTCTTTGGAGAACAAGGGAAAATGCTTAGCTTAAAGAAAATAAACTGAACTGTGCCTTAGGCTGCTGGTCTGTGGGTATGCAGATCCCTCTACAAAAAGCAACTGGGGTAGATATGGTGATGTCTCAGAAAGTGAGTGGAGGGGTTGGGCTTTCCATGCCAAATTGGCTGCTCAGGAAGCAGAGGGATTAAAAGCTGCTCCTTGGAGTTAAGATGGTACCATTTCCAATCTGCTGCTCGGAAGCAGGCGAAACATCAGCCCTTATTAACATTTACACTGTGCCATTTCATCACGCACGCACCAGAGATGCGGCATGGGATGCGGTGGTCGGGGTCTGAAGAACTTGGGGAGAAGAGCCTACCATGCGGAGCTGGGCTCTGACCCTATGAGCAGGGTGACTGCATCACAGCTGCCGAGTAGTGGGGGGGGGATGAGACAGTTCCTGTGGCCGGCAAGAGGGAGCTCCTGGGGGCGGGGAGCCCCCTCCACCCCCTCCACAAGGAGGGCAGGAAGTGGGAGAAGCTGTGACCTCTTATCCAAGACCATTATCACTGTGAGAATGAATGACAGTAGGATGCCAGCGCCTCCCAAGAAAAGCTCTAATTAGCTGGGGTGGGTGAAGGCATCCTGGCAGTCACCAGGGCTGGGAGAGTTCTGGAGAGAAGGGCTTTCTGCTGGGGACCTCAAAACCAGCCTTGCTTCTGTTTGGGAAAAGGGGGTGGGGCAGGGAGAGAAGCCTTTGTTTAGGCTGGATGACAGCAGAAGGCAGGAGAAGGGACTCTGGCAAGGCAAAGGCAGGTGTCTGCTTAGCCCAGGCAGGAGAGCTGACCACAGGAAGAAAATGCAGACCAGCCACCACCCCTGGTCCAGCATGTCTGCATGCAACACCATTAGGGAGTCATTTAGGAAAATTCCCACTTTGGGAAAACTTTCCATTGATGAAGTTCTCTTTTGAAGCAGAGAGCGGGAGGCTGACAAGGAGAGGCACGCGCGCGCGCACACACACACACACACACACACACACACACACACACACACACACACGCACGCACGCACGCACGCACGCGCACAGTTGGCTCTGACCAGTGATGTCTCTAGTTGCAAACATGGTGTCCAACTGTGGAAGTCAGACATCTTGGGGTGGCTTGTGTGGAAGGTCAGATGTCATACAGAGCATGATGCCTGATTTTTAGAAGGCTCTAGTGCATAAAGACAGGGTGATGGCAGCTAAGAAGCCTGCTGCTGTAAAGGCCCAGAGTCACCCTCCAGGGACCCCTGCACAGAAGCCTCACCTATCTTCCTCGTGCTCAGTGCACCCCTGTAAAGAAGCTACGGGTAGAATCCTAGGTGCAGAGGGTCCCTGGGGCCAACTGAGTGCCAGGGAGTCAGAATGAGGGCCCACCTGCTTAGTGTTCCACATTCAGGCCAGACACCAGGTCTGTCCTCGGAACGGGACCACACACCGCTGGCTGGATGGTGGCTGTGCTTTCTTGGTACTCAGAAACACAGACCGGCCTCATGGCTGAGGGCACTCAGGGCCCACCAAGTCACAGGCAGCACACACAGACCGCCTAACGGCAGTCCTTGCACAGGGTGCGAGCTCACGCAGCAGAGCGAGCCCAGATGAAGCAGCAGACCTGGAGCTGGGGCTAATTAATGAACAGGTGTCTTTTGCAAATTAGCTCAAGGCAGAACTAAGCAATTGCAGGCGTGGGCATCCAGAGTGACAGAGGTCGGGTGTGGGGCAGGAAGAGAGGGTGGCTGAGGCCTAGCAGAGTCCACTGAGGAGCGGGTGATGATCACCAGCCAGATGAGGTGCACTCTTTCCCCTTTACAGGGAGACGAGAGAGAAAGCCAAGAGACAGCCTATCCTCTTGGGTCTCTCGGTCTAGCCCATATGACATTATAAATTAGCTGGCTCCTGAGCAAATTTCCCAACCCCCAAATGCCATTGATCAGTTCCAACTCAGTCTCTGTTCAAGGACTCTTGTCCCTTCTCATTACAGAAAGCAGAGACACCGGTCACAGCAGCCAAGTATGTTTCTTGAAAGAAAGGAAGGAAGGACGGAAGAAAGAAAGAGAGAGAGAAAGAAAGAAAGGGACCAGCAATGCTTTGATCTTTAATGAAATCTTCAAGCTGGTTTCTGGGAATAAAGTCCGAGACAGACCGGGAGGGAGCAAACAGGGCTGCTCAAACCTCTCTTTCTGGGTCAGTGAGTTTCGCTGCGTGCTGAAGGCCCCACAGCAACATGCTGGAGCCTTGATGGACACGCGGCAGCGCATCTTCCCAAGGCACTGCAGGCAGTAGTCAGCCACGGCTTTTTTAGAATGCTCTGGAGTCTACTGTTTGTCAGGGCTGTCTGCGCCCCAGGCAGGTGACATTCACCCCAGCTGCTCAGGTGTCAAGTGTCCAGTCATCTCCAATCTCGTTCTTGACTCAAGGATGAGATTTCTGTGGCTACCATAACACGTCCCCCAAGTAAGCGACTTCCAGACCACAGAGTCTCTCCAAACCCAGGTGTCCCAGGGATGGCTCAGCAAGGCTCCCAATGGTGCCGCATAGCGCCCCCTGCAGGACAATGCCACACCCAGTACATGAACCCAGCAATAGGGCTGCCTGAAGCTGAATTTCTCCAGCCTGTGTGAGAAGTGGCCCTCAGTGACAGAATGGGGACTAGAGAGCTCCTGGTCTGCACCCAGTCCCCTGTGCCCTGGAAACAGACCAGAGACTGGATGACCTGGGGCAGGCACTGGGAGCCTCACACAGGCTGGATGGGCTGTGGACTCCACCCTCCCCCATAACATGGGGTTTTGTTGAGGTCAGGAAATGCCAAGACTTCAGCTTCTTATTCAGGAGCTTTCAACCTCCCTGGTGCTGCGACCCTTCCATACAGCTCCTCATGTTGTGGGGACCCATAAAGTTATTTTTGTTGTTACTTCATAACTGTAATTTTGCTACTGTTATGAACTGTAAGTACATATCTGTGTTTTCTGATGGTCATAGGTGCCCCCCCCCCCGTGAGAGGTAGTTCGGGTCCAAAGGGGTTGAGATCCACCGGCTGAGGCTGAGGACTGCTGTTCGAGCTAATCCCCAGCCTCGCGCCTTTGCCCTCTGGACCCTCCCGCTGACAGACCCGCATCCCCTTCTCTGGCCCACCTCCAAAGCCCATTCAAACACTGCCAGTCTCCTCTGCAGTGACTTCAGGCTTCTCTAGGGCTCGTGACTGAGTCACCGGAGCATGGTGGCACCACATGACTTCCATCCTGCAGGGAACAGGGCTGTGCTCCTGCATCTCTAGCAGGGACCACATACCCTTGCTATTCCAACGGATAGGGAAGGCTTTGCACGTGTGACACCAGCGAGCATGACAAGTATCCGTGGGCTGTGTGGCACTTGGTGCAGGCAGTGCCGGGGAGGAAGGTGTCATCACCGTGTTGGGGAAGGGGCAACCCTGGCTTTGCTGATCTGCTCTGCCCCCCCCCCCCTTCCTGCCACAGCACACCAGGAAGAACACCTGTTGAAATACGATCACCGTGCTGGGGGGCGGGGAGTCCCTTTCCAAAAACAGTTTGGAGGGCTGGGAGGTGTGGCTCAATGGGAGAGCGACTGCCTTGCACGTGAAGCCCCCCCCCGCCCCCCCCCCGCCCCGTTCCATCCTAGAACTGAGGAGAGGCGCAGGGTATGAAGGAGAGGAGCCTGGCACTCAGCTCCCGCCATCAGCATGGCTGCCCCCCCCAAAGGAAGGGATCCCTCTGGACTGTAAACACATGGTGACATCTTAGAAGACCCTCAGGTACTAAAGGCCTTCAAAGGGGTTGGTCTTTCAGAAGCATCTGTCTCTTGGTTGGATTCCCAGTCAGAGCCCCGCCACCAGCTTTTGCTGAACAAAAAGCAGCCCCTGATGCCTGCTTGTCATCTTTCCCTTGCCCAGAAGAGGGGGAGTGGCCTGTGCTTCTGACTGGAACTAACTTCAGCTCTGGCAATAAGACGGTGGGAAAGACTCAAGGAAGTGCATCTGTTGTGGACGGGTGGGGGGGTGGGGGCGTCCCTGCCACCCCTGTGAGTGCACCTGACAGACAGAGGAAGAAGGTCCAGGTCAGTAGGCTCACATGGCATCTTTCACTCCCAGAGGCGGCTGGGACCGAAAGAGGGGGTGCTGGACCCTGCTGGCCACTATGTGCCTTACATGGGCACTGAGCAACTTCCTCAGGTCTCCAAGTGTCTGTTTGTTTACATGCCTCCAAAGGTGAGTTTTCTGTCCATGGTACCTCAGAAGAGTGGGTTGGGGCTTTCAAGGACTCTGGCACTTTCCATCCCACTGGTCAGCTCCTGGGGTCGCAACACAAAAGGTCAAGAAGCTCTTATTCCATGCGTTCCCTGCTAGCTCGGTGTGGGTGGGGGCATTTCTCAGAAACGACAGCGTTGGGCCGCTGCGTGCCAGGGCTTCCCTAAGCACACAGGGTCTGGAAGGGCTCAGGGCAGAACTCACAGGCTTAGAGCATTCGGGCCCTGGGAGAGTGGGTTCAAGTGGCGATGGCCAGGTGCCACCAGCACAGCTGAGCTGTCTGGGTACTTCAGATGGGAGGGGGAGGAACACCAAGCTTGCAGGGCTGCTCCTGTTGAGTGCTAGGGGTTAAAAGCTAATTGGGGTTAATAGCATCTCGGCATGAACCCATCCCTGACTGAACTTGCAACTTGTCCTTGAAGCGTAGTGAAGAAATGCTTCAAGGATTCTATTTTTATTTCTCAAGTGGCTGTGAACGTTTGGGGCTGGGAGATCTTATTTGCCTAACTGAATCACAACTTCTGGAGCTTCATCTACAACAGGCAGGTGAGCTCTGAGTGGGAGCATGAAGGGGCACTGAGCTCAGGTCACAGGGATGGGGTGGGGGTTGGGTACGGATGCCCTTGTTAAGCCAACTCTGCTGAGCCACTCAGTTTCTCAAAGTATGTCACATGTAGGACATTTTTTCAACTAGTGATTGATAGGGGAAGGCCCAGCCTATGGTGGGTGGTGCCATTCCTCGGCTGGTGATCCTAGGTTCTAGGAAGGCAGGCTGAGAAAGCCATGGGGAGCAAGCCAGTAAGCAGCACCCCTCCATGGCCTCTGCATCAGCTCCTGCCTCCAGGTTCCTGCCCTGCTTGAGCTCCTGTCCTGACTTCCCTCAGTGATGGAGGTGTAAGATGAAAAAAAAAAACCTTTCTTGCCCAAGTTGCTTTGGTCATGGCGTTCCATCAAAGCAGTAGTGACCCTAACTAGGACAGAAGCTGGCATGAGGATAGCAGGGCATTGTGTGACAGACCTGACCATGTCTTTTTTGAGGGGAGGATTGGACAAGAAAAGCCACTGAGTGCGCGAAACTTGGTGAGCTGTGTGTAGAAATGTGGGAAGTAAGGATGATGAGAAAGATGCAGACCATGGAGGCCTGGCCTGTGAAGTTCCCGAGGGAAGCAAAGGCTCTGCTGTCATCTGCGGTGTCTGGTCAGCTGGCGCTGAAGAATCAGCCGTGATTAACAAGAGACAAACAGCCCTTAATCCCAGCACTCAGGAGGCAGAGGCAGGTGCATCTCTGTGTTCGAGGCCAGCCAGGCAGGGAGAGAGAGGGAGAGAGAGGGAGGGAGAGAGAGGGAGGGGGAAGGAGAGAGGCATCACCAGGTGGTGCTGGTTTTGAAGGCATGAAGGGGTCACTGAGAGGTTACTGGTTCAAGGGCAGTGCAGTTGCAGCAAGCGACACCAGAGCTTGGAGAGATCCGCACCACGTGACAACCACCAAGGACAGCACCAGCAGTGGATTGGACCCAGCTGGAGCCTAGACACCAAGCTGTGTGTGTGCTTCAGAGGGCAGAGCTGGAGAAGTGACCCAAGCCCCCTTGAGAAGCCAGAGATGGTGAGTGAATCCCAGACAGTTGGACGCTGAGTTTTTACACTGTTGGAGTTTGGTTTTGCCTTGTCCAGATTGCAACTGCACCCTGGTTCTTCCCTCCTGAAGTAAAAAAGTACTTAATTTATTTTTGATTTGACAAAGGCCCACAGTTGAGAGGAGACTTTGAATTTTAAGCACTAAAATTTTAAGTGTTTGAATATTTTGTTTTGTTTTGTTTAAGACAGGGTTTCATTGTGTAGCAATGACTGTCCTGGAACTTGTTCTGTAGACCAGACTGGCCTTGAACACACAGAGATTGCCTGTCTCTGCCTCTCAGGTGCTGGGATTAAAGGTGTTTGCCACAGCCACCAGGTTAAGTGTTTAATTTTTTAAAGATCTATTATTTAATTGATTAATTTATTTAATGTGTATGAGTGCTCTATCTGCATGTACACCTTTTGACAGAAGAGGGCATCAGATCTCATTACAGATGGTTGTGAGCCACCATGTGGTTGCTGGGAATTGAACTCAGGACCTCTGGAAGAACAGCCGGTGCTCTTAACTACTGAGCCATCTCACCAGCACCAAGTGTTTAAAAGACTGTAGGACTTTTAGAATTTGGAATGTTTATATTGTAACGCTGATGTTAATCTTGGGAATGAGTAAGAAAGGAAAGGTTATGGCTTGACAATGATGCGTTTGTGTCAAGTTGACAAGTGGTCAATCGCGCGGACTGGGTTTAATGTCAACTTGACACAAGATAGAGTGATCAGAAAGGTGGGAGCCTTCTCAATTGGAAAAACGTTCCCATTAGATCTGCCTGTAAGGGTTTTTCTTTTTAGTTAGTGATTGATGGGGGAAGGCCTAGCCCATTATGTGTAGGGCCACCCCTGGGCTGGTAGTCCTGAATTCTGTAAGAAAGCAGTCTGCTAGGCTGAGCAGTGGTGGCAAATATCTTTAATCCCAGCACTTGGGAGGCAGAGGCAGGCAGAATTCTGAGTTTGAGGCCAGCCTGGTTTACAGAGTAAGATTCAGGACAGCCAGGGCTATAGAGAGAAACACTGTCTCAAAAAAAGCAAAGAAGAAAGAAAAGCAGGCTGCCTTGGTCATGGTGTTGCATCACTGTGATAGTAACCCTACTCTCATAACAGCCCAGGTACGGGGCCTATGGTACTGCCAAGACCTGCATGCCAAGAAGGGTCTGTTAACGCTATTCACTCTTGTTTCTTTGAGATGGGGTCTTGCTATGTCCCTCCGAGGTATAAATGATCTTCTTGCTTTGGCCTCTTGAGTAGTTTGGACTATGGCTGCACGCACTACCACTTACCACATGCTGTTTTATTTTATTTTTATTGCCCATATGAGTTTAAGTTCAAGTACTTCTGATCATACAGGAGATGGCCAGTCACCATGCTGAAGATGGCCAGTGGAGGAACAGATGTTGTACTGAAAACTGTGTCAACAACGTATGTGTGCCAAGCCAAGACCAGTGAACTGCTGTCATGGCTCATTTGCCAAAATTCTAGGATGAGAGTTGTTATGCCATAGAGAGGAGGGCATTTTCTTACCAAACTATAAGGTTTCAGAAATGACCTGCCCTGGCCTGGGGTGGGGGCGTTGCTTTGTCTTAGGAGCTGTTGACCACAGGGGCCTTAATGAGCAGCTCCTGCATGTGAGTTAGCACTAACCCCTGTAAGTCCAGAGCCTGCCCCCTCTGTCCCTGCCGCCTGCCCAGGAGGCCAATCCAGTGCTGTGGCTGGGAAGTGGTGCAGAAGACAGGTCTCCTGGGCTCTTTAGGACCTGAGAAGGGAGGGAGGAGCTAAGGGAGACCCAAGGCTACAGGGCACGGCCTAAAGACTCCTTAAAGCAGTGGTTCCCAACCCTCCCAGCACTGCAACCCTTAACACAGCCCCCCAAGTTGTGGTGGCTCCAACCATACAATTATTTTTGTTGCTACCTCTTCATACCTGTGATTTTGCTACTGTTATAAATTACAATGTAAATATCTGTGTTTTCTGATGGTCTTAGGTGACCCTGTGAAAGGGGGTCATGACCCCCAGGTTGAGCATCGATGCCTTAGACCCTAGGGCACACCATTGCCTCCTTGGAGACTTGGATCTGTCCATAGGAGATTACCAGAAGCAATTGAAAAGCTGTTCTTGAGGTCACTTCTTTGTTACTTCCTGAAGACAGCAACTACAAAGCCACTTTTGAATGTTTGTCATACCCCCAGGTCCCTTTCTTCAACTTTCTGCCCCTCCTTTTATGTTTTGCTTTCATTGTTTTTAACTGTGTGTGGGCATGCGCACACATGCACAAGTGCCCACGGAGGCCAGAGGAGTCAGATCCCCCGGATCTGGAGTTCTCTGTCTGTCTGTCTGTCTGTCTGTCTGTCTGTCTGTCTGTCTGTCTGTCTGTCTCTGTCTCTCTCTATGTAGCCCTGACTACTTTAGAACCCACTATGTAGACTAGGCTGGCCTTGAACTCAGATCCACCTGTCTCTGCCTCCCAGTCTGAGATCAAAGGGGTGCGCCACCACTGCCCAGCTGGGGTATGGGCTCTTAGCTGCTAATTTGTCTCTCTAGCCCTCTGCCTCCCATTAAGAATTTATTTATTTTCTATGGGGGGGCATGTCAGAGGATAAAAGCATGGGATTGGTTCTCCCTTTCTGCCTTTATGTGGGTTCTGGGAGCACAGAGCCATTGCAGGCTTGGGGAGCAGGTGCCCATGTCTGCTGAGCCCCCACCGCTTCCCTTTTGGAAGACAACTGCAAACAAGCAGGAGGAACAGAAGGAGGAACCTATTCCTGAATCACCTTCCTGACCTTTGATTTGTGACAGGTCTTTATTGGTGCCCTGGGATGCAAAAAACCAAAACCAAACCAAACAAAACAAAAAAGCCCACCTTTTCCTTTTAGCCTCTACTTGGGGGGGGGGGTGGAAAAGAGGAAAAAAGTCACCCTAAACAACCTGGGAGGGCACTCGGGGTGCCCGAAACACCTCACTGATGGTCTGGAAATTCCACACGCTGTCCCCCTGCCAAAAGGGGCCCATGTCTGCCCAGGACACAGTCATGCCCCTGGCAGCCAACTCTGTCACATCATCAGCCCCTCTGGCTCCTCCTTCCAGATCAAGACAAGGTCCATAGCTTGGCTCAGGCAACCTCCCCAGTGGCTAGGAAGGCTCTGGGGCTGCATTCCAAGGGTGCTGCTGGTAACCAACTCTCCCTGCCCAGAGCCTCCTCTGGAGTCTCTGGACTTTCTAGAGGGGATGCGGGACCGCTGCGTATCATCTAGAGAGGCTTGGCCTTGGGGGCCGGGAGGGCTTTGAGAGCTGCCAGGTGAACCAGCTCTTTGGAATGCCTCCCGGGTAGGACTGCTTTCTAATCCTGGCTACTGTTTCCACTTCAGAAAACAGGTGTTGAGAGGGATTAAAAGCTTTGTCCAAAATCTCAATTACTTAGCTGTAGCTGGGATTAGAGCCGGGGTCACCTGTATCCAAAGCCTATTTCCTGATTAGAGTACTCAACTGCCTGTGACTGTGCCTACACAAAGAGCCACTTCTTCCACTGTCCCCCAACACCCACCCCCCCTCAGACCTGGCTCCCTTAGGGGAGGAGACTGGGCAGGTGGGATGGCCTTAGGCTGGCACAGACATTGTTTCTCTGGCCCTGTCATTTGGGTCCATGCCTGCATGCCTGTGTGGTCTTTCTCAGCTGACAAGCCAGATGGTACCCGGTGGTGGGCACCGTTCCAGGAATCTGATGCCAGAGCTACAACCTTTGTGGTTTGGGGGAAAAGATAAATATTGTGGAAAGCCCACTCAGTCATTGGCATAATGACTATAAGCCATCCAGGTTTACAATGGATGGCTGTCTCCTCACAAGTCAGATGGAGGGAGTGGGACCCAGCAACACCAGGAGAGAGGTCACGTGGGGAGGGGGAGGGGGACAGTGTATATTCATGCATGTACACAAACGGGCATGCATATATGCATACATACATACACACATATACACACACACAATGGGCCGCGGCAATGGGGAGCTAAGAGCTCTGCCTGGAGGAACGGAACTGATTTTGGAGGCAGCCATGCTCCGGTGACTCCCACTGGGCATGTGAGATGCAAAGAGGAACTGGGGGGGGGGGGAGCCGGGGCCGAGAGCTGGGGCCTGCAACTTCCAAACACGTGACGGTACCCCCCCCCACTTCCCTTCAACTTAGTCCCCCAAGGCGCTCTAGCATCTTCACACAATCAGGAGTTCGCCTGAGAAGACTGACTCAGTGACTCAGTGAGGGGCTGCCGAGATTAGTTTGGCCTGTGGGCATGTCTGTGACGGCTGTCTTGATTATGCTTCTGTGGAAACACCTGTCCTACTGTGGGCAGCACCATGCCCTAGGCAGGGCTCCCGGCGGGTGTGCCTAAGTGCAATCGAGCAAACACTAACGGGCTTGCACGCATTCACCCTCCCTCTGCTCTTGCCTGTGGACGTGAGCAGCTACTTCAGACTCCTGCCTTGACTTCCCTGCAATGAAGGACTTGGTCCTGGAATTGTAAATTGAGTAAACCCTTTCTTCCCTAGGTTGCTTTTTTAAAAAAGTTTTTTGAGACAGGGTCTCTATACAGATAGCTATGGCTGTCCTAGAACTCACTCTGTAGACCAGGCTGACTTCACAGAGATCCTCCTGCCTCTGCCTCTAGGATGCTGGGATTCAAGGTGTTTTGTCACAGGAACAGAACTAAAACGAAGGGGGATGGGTTTGGTGAAGGACGTTAGGGATTCGGCAGCTCTGGAGGAGAGCAGTGCCTTCTGGCTCTTTGGGGCCGTGGTGACAGGTACAAAGCCCAGAACTTCTTGAGCACTACAGACTCGGGTTACTGGCCCTCACTTTAACTACTAGTCAGACGTGTTTATCTTGGATGTCAGGGACAGGTAAACAGGATTGCCACATTGCAATCACATGAGAAAGCTGGCCATGTCCTTGGTCCCTAGCCACTGTGAGCTGGGGAACCAGCTGTGTTGAAGGTCACCTTGGCCCTGACAGGTCCTAAGAACCAAAGACTCTCTCCAAAGCCACAGAGAAACCCTGTCTCAAAAAAACCAAAAAAAAAAAAAAAAAAAAAAAAGAACCAAAAACTCCAAAGGAAAGGCAGGCTGTGCCACGAGTAATGAGGGCATGGGGACCCTCTGGGCCATCCAGCCAGCCCCTAGCTCCCTTGGGGAAAAGCCCACACACTCCAGCTACCTGATTCTGTAAGGATGAACCTGCTCAGATACAGCTGATAGTGGGCAAAGCAGGCACGTGGCTGTTCAAACCTCCCTGGCTCACTGGAATCCCAGTGCTTTTGGGCCTGGGGTCTGGCCCTTGATCTGTCTTAAGCCAGGAACTACAACAGGCAGGCCCACCACCTGTAGCTGTCTGGGGCTGACACTACTCTCCACAGAGGTATCAGAGGCTCTCAGCATCCTTCCTCCGTAGTTATTCTCTCTTCTGGGGAAGAGCATGGAGGAGGGAAAGCTCAGGGTGGGTGGGAGGGAGGGAGGGAGGGAGGGAGGGAGGGAGGGAGGGAGGGAGGTCAGGTGCTCAGAGTTATGAGCCCTGCAGAGAGAAGCACACAGGCCAAGCTGGATCCACCCATTTTCCCTGCTGATCTCTGACCTCGAAACAGACCAGGAACTGAGTAACCTTGGAGTTGGGGAAGGAGGGCGACAGTACATCAGGCTGCCCGCTGAATGAGCTATTGGACTGGGCATGGGTTATCACGCTGGCAGCCCCAACTTCCTCCCCAGCTGCTGGTCAGTGGGAGGTGCCCTCCATGTGGGGCTGGCAAGCTGTGGGATCTGCAGCCCCCAAGTAGCAAGTCTGAAGGAAGCTCGGGGGACCATCTGGTGGGGATGAGGACAGCACCTGCTGCCCTCAGGTAACGTAGCAGCCTTCCACAGACTTTTCCCTGAGGGTGCCACGAGCCTGTGAAGTCAGGTACTACTCTCTGTGGGCACGGGGGCATGGATAGTCACAATTCAGGGTGTCACCCCAGACTGGGGACCTGTGGATGGCCTGGCCAACCTCCTTTCTCTGGAAGGCCCTGACCATCCACCCTTTCCATGACAGTCTTTGGAAAGTAAGTCCATGAAGACTAGAACAGCCTCTCCTGGGACAGGGGAGCTTTGTGCTGGCAAGGGTACCAATGTGAAAGTCAGACTCCTAGGCGTCCCCCATGACCTGGGCATCTGCTAGGTCAGTCTGACAACTAGGCTTAGGCTAGAAAGCCTGGAGTCCTTAGCCCATACTAGTAAAAAAAGTGTGTGTGTGTGTGTGTGTGTGTGTGTGTGTGTGTGTGTGTGTGTATGCGTGCATGCGCACATGTGCTCATGCATGCACTCAGCACACACACCACAGATGTATGTGGAGGTCAGGGGACAGCACTGGAGTCAGGTCTCTCCTTCCACCTTTAGGGGAATTCTGGGGATTAAACTCAGGTCACCAGACTCTCATGGCAGACACCTTTGCCTACTGAGCCATCTTGCACCCCATCCCCCACCCACACTTTGACAAAGCGGATCTTGGTCAGTGGAACAGGAACCAGATGCCCTCCTTACTGGCCCGGGGAAGGGGCAGCGGGGAAGTGTCTTAGAGGGTACACTGCTGCTGGAGTTGGGGGAATACAGCCTCTCCGGGACAGTGGGGTGGGGTGGGGGCAACCCTGCTATCTAAGGTGTCAGCACCTCTGGGCCCCGTGCACTGGTCCCATCAAGGCTTCTGAGAACCTTTTTTTTTTTTTTTTTTATCCATGCTGAGAAAGCTATTGCCACAGGCTGACTGAAACACCCTGGGTGGCTTGTGACCCTGCCTTCTAGAGTCACACTCCCACACTATCCGCTTAGCAACACCCCAGGCAGTGCTTCCCGACTTGAAGGCTTATTAGGATGTGCCTCCGTCTTCTCTGCTCATCCACAAGACTTCCCGAGCTCACGATCATTAACCACACAGCATCATTAATAT